GCCAGGCCCTGTCCTGTGGCTTCTTGCACAAAGTCTGGATGGACCCGGCTGAGTTGTGTTTCTTGAAGACACCTCCTTAGATCACGGGGGCTGCTGACTCACACCCAGCATGGAGCTGAAGACTGTTGTCCACAGGCAGGGGGTGCCCAGACATCGGGCAGCAGGTGGGGGCACACCAAGCACAGAGCGCCCTTGCTTGCAGCTTGGGTCATTCGGGGCTCCTGCCGAGCCCTTGGTTTCGGCTCGGTCCCTCTCTGCTGATGAGATTCGGCCATAGTCCTTGCGTGACAGGTCGATGGTAATGCTGACATGGACACCCAGAGCCAGGCGCTGGGTCCTTGTTTCCTCGGGGAGCCCCGGCGGTAGGCGCCGGCTGGTGCCAGGCCCCACACCTGAGCGGCTGTGCCAGGCCTCTTGCCTCTGGCTGCTGCTGTCTGGGCACTGAGATCCTGAGGAGTTTCTCCTTCCTCACACCTCGCCCTCTTCGGAGACTGCCCTGCCAGTGCTGCCTTCCAGCCAAGGAAGTGAGGTGTGAGGATGGGCTCCACCTTGCGGTCCATCCTCTGTCAGCAAGCATCAACCGCCGATGGATCTCCCCGGGGCTGCTGACCCCAACCCCTCTCCCCATCCACAGCCGCTGATCTGTTTCACTCCCCCCTCATTCTCCTGGCAAATTCTCTCATACCCTGCCCCATGCACAAGTAACCCACGTTCTTGCCTGCCTCCCCGCCTGGGACTGGTCGTTCTTCGTGTCCCCGGGACTTGGTGGTGGCCTCGTTGTGCAGGAGAGCAGTTTGTGCGCTGGTTAGGGCCTCTTTGGGGTGAGATGACACACCTTGAAACACACAGGTGCCTGCTGCCTGGAGGGTGTGTTCAGCTTGCTTGCAGAAGAGCTGGGCCATGGTGCAGAGTCGCCTGCCATGTTAAAGTCACGGCATGGAGCCCTGCACGTTTCCTGGGGTCCGCACATGACCACCCTCCAACGCTGTCATGCCAAGACCCTTCGCTCAGAGATGAGGTGCCCAGCCTCTGTTTGAGGGCTGATTTCTCCCACCACCTGGTCTACCTGTGTGTGGGGTGCCGACACGTGGAACTGGGGTGTGACTTGAGGCTGTGCTGTGCGGTACTACGGTAACAGGAGCTGAGCAGAGGAAGGAATACCTGGTTGTCATCTTCAAGACATCAGAGGTGCCAACCAGGAGCTGTGCCAGGGCTGTGCGGAAAAGGGTTTGGCTTGGTGGGTGAGCTGGTGTTGGAGCAAAGCATCACCACTCAGCTTAGGGCAGGAGCCGCAGCAGCCTCAAGTGGAATAGCCCAAGCAAGGCTTTCAGCGTCAGAAGAAATGGATAAACTGTGGTATGTGCAAGCAGTGGGTTGGTGCCCAGGAAGGAAAAATGATGACTAAAGCCACACACTATGTGTTGCCCAGAGCAGAGAAACCCGAGGACTACAGAGTGCAGTGTTGCGTAGGTGTTAGATTCAGAACCTGCGTGCACTGGGGCAGCTGATCTGAGCTACGGTGGGATGCTGTCCCAGGACGGAGTGCCTGTCTCTGACCCTGGCCCTGCCCCAAACCTGCCACGTGGGAGGCCCACCCCGGGCATTGCAGACATAGGAGGTAGTTCCTTCTGTCTTGCTTCTCTGCCTTTTACATAAATTAATTTTTTGAAAGTGAGTCTGCGGCCTGGCGCAGTAGCCTAGTGGCTAAAGTCCACGCCTTGCACACACCGGAATACTATATCAGCTGCCAGCTCATGTCCCGGCAGTCCAGCTTCCCATCCAGCTCCCTGCTTGTGGCCTGGGAAAGCAGTCGAGGGGCCTTGGGACTCTACACCCGTGTGGGAGAGCCAGAGGAGGTTCTGGCTCCTGATCTCAGATTGATGCAGCAGTGGCTGTTGCAGTCACTTGGGGAGTGAATCAATGGATGGAATATCATCCTCTGTCTTTCCTCCTCTCTGCGTATCTGACTTTGCAATAAAAATAAATGAATCTTTAAAAAAATCTGACTTTCCGATAAAAATAATTTTTTTTAGTAAGTCTGTTTTGATTCAGAGACAGTGAAAGAGAGAAACGGATCCCAAAAAGAACATCTTTCTTTTGAAAGAAATGGGCCCGGCGCTGTGGCCTAGCAGCTAAAGTCCTCACCTTGAACGCACCAGGATCCCATATGGGCACTGGTTCTAATCCTGGCAGCTCCACTTCTCATTCAGCTCCCTGCTTGTGGCCTGGGAAAGCAGTCGAAGACGGCCCAAAGTCTTGGGTTCCTGCACCCACGTGGGAGACCTGGAAGAGGCTCCTGGCTTCAGCTTGGCGTAGCTCCAACCATTGTGGCCGCTTGGGGAGTGAATCATCACTCGAAGATCTTCCTCTCTGTCTCTCTGTAAATCTGACTTTCCAGTTTAAAAAAAAATAAATAAATCTTTAAAAAAAAAAAAAAAGGTAGGAATCAGGCTAAATAGCTGTCTCAGCTTCAAATCCCGCCTGCAACAGGCCACATGGGATACATTGAGGTCACGGAAACGTTTGAGTCTGCGCAGCCAGAGAGCCACGAGCCAGCCCTGTGACGGCAGAGCCTCCCTAAAGCCTGCACTGGCCGTGGCCCAGAAGCCCCAGGCCCTGCCTGATTGCTGTAAAATGGGGCAGCTTGCAGCCACACTCACTTTCAGCAGATTTGTGGTTCGAACATCTGTTTTAAAAGGCCTCACTTTCTACAACCTCGGTTCACATTCAAGCAAAGAAAATGATGGAAGGTCCCGGAGTCCCTCCATGGGCTGCGAAGAGGCAGAGTTCACACGCCTGCCTGTTTCCAAGCTCTCGTCTCCTGGAGTTTCTTTGAAAACTAGACTACCTCCACAGCCCTCACGCCAGGGGCTTGCCAGCGAGCAGGCAGGTGCCTCCTGGGCAGAGGGCATCCCTCCCTGGCCACTGCTACACCCCGGGCACTGCTGTTTGCTTGTAGCACGTGTGAGCGGTCTGCCGGGGTTCAGGCACTGAGACAAGATGAACAGTATTCCACCTCCAGCCAGAGTACAAGGTGAGGGTGAGGAAGAGAGGCCCAAAGCGGGGGTGGGGGAGGGTGAGTGCGTGAAAAATGCGGGAGAAGAAGGCAGAAAATACATACTAGCTTGGAAACGGAGAATTGAAATCCTGGCATGGGGATGCGCAAGGGCCAGCAGGGCAAAAGGAGCAGAGAAGGCAGAAGGCTGCAGGCTCCTCACACCACCTGGACGCTGAGGCAGGAGCGAACCCTGCAGCTGCACAGGTCTCGGTGGGGAGCAGGGGGACCCCAGCTGGGAGCACGTGCACAAGTGAGCTGGCCAGGACTCCTCTGCAGGAGTTGTCTACAGGGTGGCCTGAAGGACAGTGTGACCCTGGGGAGGTGGAGGGAGAGGAAGGGTCCCAGGAGCTGGTGACGCCACGTGGGGATCTGACTGAGAGGCAGAGGTGATGATTGTGGCCTGCCTGCTCACCTTGGACCAGTGAGTGCCCCCAGCTGACCGTCCTCAGGGACAGCATGTGGTGATGCTTGCCGCTCACCACCAGGTGACGCTGGCAGGCGGGACAGGCTGCGTGTCACACACCTCGGCAACAGGTGAGAGAGTGCCACGTTGTGGTCAGGACGCAGGGCCAGCCTCCGGGCAGTCCCGTCAGCACAGGTGCAGGTCCAGGAGCTGAAGAGGCAGGCCCTGGTCAGTGGCCCTCCCTGAAATGTGCGAAGCTGGTGCCAGCAGGAAGGAGCGGTCGGGCTCCTTTTGGGGTTGGATGGGTGCCATTTATCTATGTGTATTTTAAGTGTTAACACAGGTTGTTGAAAGTGAACACGTAACTTAGAAACACAGAAAGATCAAGCCAGATGAAGAGCCTGAAACCACAGCCCCAGAAGCCCCGCCTCCCACAGACCAACGCAAGGCTCAGATTCTGGTTTGAAGTGGCAGAGCCACTTGTGTGAATGTGGTCATGGTGATGATGGAGACACCACACACAGGCTTTTGCGAGTCCCCTGCCACATTCGTTTCCATTTTGGCAAGGAAGATGTTTTTATCTTGCTGGAAACGGCTTCCAGTTGCAATGTAGGATACCTTCGATGTGACAAGCTCTCTGGCATCTTTGAGGGAGTCTGGGAGGGCTTCGTAAGGCTAAGTCTGCAGAGCATGGACAGACGCCGGCCTCACATGGGTGCAGAGGCTGGATGAGAACAGGGGCTTCATTGGTGGTAGGGACAAGCTCGAGAGCCAGGAGTGCTGGTTAGAACACTGAGCCCTAAACACTCAAGGCGTAGATTTCTTTTTTTTTTTTTTAAAAGATTTATTTTTATTATTTTTTCATTGGAAAGGCGGATATACAGAGAGGAGAGACAGAGAGGAAGATCTTCCGTCCGATGATTCACTCCCCAAGTGAGCGCAACGGGCCGATACTATGCCGATCCGAAGCCAGGAGCCTCTTCTGGGTCTCCCACGCGGGTGCAGGTTCCCAAGGCTTTGGGCCGTCCTCGACTGCTTTCCCGGGCCACAGGCAGGGAGCTGGAAGGGAAGCGGGGCTGCCGGGATTAGAACCGGCGCCCATATGGGATCCCGGGCGTGCAAGGCGAGGACCTTTAACCACTTGCGCCACCGCGCCGGGCCCGGCGTAGATTTCTAAATGAAAGCATCTCACACCATCACTGGTGGGTGCTGCTGTTCTTGTCCTTGATAGAAGTTGTCTGTGTTACAACCTACAGAGCAGTGGCAGGCCAGCCTGGGTGACCCGGGTACCGTGAGCAGACGGCAGGGGCCCCGTGGGCCTGGCTGCGACGTGTTGGCTCTTGGCTGACTGTCTGAATGGCGTGATGCCAAGGTCAGGGTCCATTTCCGAAAAGGAACCTCGACATGCTGTGACAGCCACAGATAGTCACCCTTTTCTCATCTGTTTCTTTTCCAGGGAGTCATGAAGACTCTGTGAAACTTGGCTTCTCTCTGGGAACTACAAAAATTGAAGGAAAGAAAACTTTCAGAAAGAAAGTTCTCTTGGAAAATATGTTTACAACTGACTGATACTGTTGACAGCTTTTTTTAATTATTATTATTATTATTACTACTATTTTTAAAAATAACGAAACACCTTAAGCAGATTATATTTATGGTAAAAGGAAACTGGACTAACCATGAGGCCAAAGACTTTTCCTGCCACGACGTATTCTGGAAATGGCCGGCAGCGACTGCAGGAGATCCGCGAGGGCCTGAAGCAGCCGCCCAAGCCCTGCTCTCAGGGGCTGCCCGTGGGACCAAACGGTGATGCCGCCCTGGGGGGCAAGGATGCTGCCAGGCAGCAGCAGAGAGCCACCCCCAAGTTCGGACCTTATCAGAAAGCACTGCGGGAGATCAGGTATTCTCTGTTGCCCTTTGCCAACGAGTCGGGCACCTCGGCGGCAGCGGAAGTGAACCGGCAGATGCTACAGGAGCTGGTCAACGCCGGCTGCGACCAGGTGGGTACCCTGCACGCTCTGCTCTCTGCTTTTGCTTTGCAGGCGAGATGCAGACACGTGGAACTCCCCGGGAGCCCCCATCCTGTTGTGAACGTGAGAAAGGGCATCCGCGCGTTGCTCTTTCTCCGAACTTGGGGTTATCCGAGTTGCCATGAGGAAGAGGCTGGCACGTGTGTGCTTTTTTGTTTGTTTTGTTTGATTTTGTTTGACCTAGTTGAAGTGGAAGGTTTGATTGACATGCTTTGGCTATTCTCTGGCTGTTTACTCCTATTTTCAAAAGAAAATAGTGTGTGCTGTTACAGGAAATGTTTGTTTTTTTTAAAAAAAAAAATCCTAAGAAACCACCGGAATGGTGGCAGCACAAGCTGGTTTCCCACTGCTGAGGAGTAAGGGGCACACTGGGGGTCGCACCGTTAATGCCTAAATGCACGACCGTGATTCGACCTTCGGGATGCCCTCAGCAGTTGACATCCCGGAAGGCACCAGCTAAGGCACAGAGGGTGCCAGCCCAGTAGAAATGTGATTGCGTTGTGAGATGGTTTAGAAAAAGAAAAACATCTCAAAAACTCACAGGTTGTGTGAAGTAGAAATGAGCTGAGCCTTCTGCTGCCTCACAAAGACTAGATTCTATGCTCGGAGCACGTCCTGTTGGGGTGGCACTGTGAGTTCTTTGGCAATCAGTGGGTTCTGTCACAGGCAGAGGCTAACGAGGTCATCTCTAGTTTGCCAAGGACAGCTCAGTCCTCTTTCTGCAGGTTAGCTGATGTGGCTGAGCAGGCTGCTCGGACCGCTTGCACCAGGCCGGGTTTCCTGGTATGTGCGATGGGCGCTGTTGGCTGGAGTGCAGGATCATGAAGTGGGAGCCGCAAGGGGTGTCCACTGAGGGCACACCGCTGGCCACCCCTACCCCCCAAGACACATCCCGGAGATGCCGAGGGCAGGGGCGGGGCGGGCCTAGGGGAGCCTCCCTAGGTGTGACTACAGAGGCAGCTGTAGGAAAAAGGACTGCAGATCTCCTGTAAGTCACAGCCAAGAAAGGCCCCAAACCCGTGTTCCTTGCTTTTGTTTTTGCTGTGAGAAGAAGGAACAGTCAAGCAAATAATCCCTGTTCCAGTGGATTTTAACGTGTGACAGCGCATTGAAAATAATGCAGTTCTCGACACAGCAAAGCGGAAGCCCCCATCACTGTTGCATGCGGGCTGATTGCTAGCAGACAGCTCCGGTTCCAGGTGTCGTGCTCCGGAAATGGTTCTGCCTTCCGGTGGGTGGTGTTACTGTATAACTCACAACCACAGCCCCTCACCCGAGCCCTCCAACTCGGGCTTCTGGTGTGGATGAAAGGTGCGTTTGCTGTCAACGCATCATCAGGAAAGTCATTGTGGGGATTCAGAGATTCCAATAATGTGAGGGAAAATCTGAGTGGTCCCCTGGAGTGTCTGAGAGAGCAGGTTGTCAGGTTCCCCGCCAGCAGGTGAAGAGAATCCTGTTGTTGCATCTCCCCTTTGTCCCCTTGCTTTGTCTTTCATCGAGGTGCAGTCTTGCTGTGTATTGGCAGCCTCGTTGCTGTCTAACCCCTATTTTCATCAGAATGGCAGTAAATGCCCCGCTCTTCCACATTCTTAGGTGCACGTGTTGATATGCAACAAAATTTACGCTTAAAGCATGTCGGAGAGGGTGGGTTTGGGGCGAGCAGTGAAGATGCCGGTCAGGATGCCTGCCTCCCATATCAGCGTGTCCCAGGGCGAGTCCCTGCTTTGGCTGCCACTCTGGAGACGCTGGGAGGCAGTGGTACAGCAGAACTGACTGGATCTCTGCCACCTGCACTGGGGGCGTTTTGACTAAGTTATGGCCCAACCCCAACTACTGCAGGCATGTGAGAAGCGAACCGGGAGTCAGGGGCTCTCTGTTTCTCTGATTTTATATATAGATTCATATATAAAATTTAATATATATGAATTTTATAATATTTATAAATTAAATATATAAGTGTAATATAATACAAAATTTATTCATGCTATTTTTAAAATTATATTTTTGACAGTCTTTACATAATTAATTAGGATAAGAAGGTTCAAGGACTATTGGAAAGTGGGTAAGACTATTATTTCCATATTGTTTCCTTCATGTATCTGAAGTAAAGGGGAATGTTGAGGGAGAAGCCCCACCCAGTTTCCCACCCGCCCCAGGTCCCGGATGTGGGGCATGCTCTGAGATTCTTGCTCAAGTGGTTTTGATAGTTCACCGTTTATGAATCGCTGCCAATCTCGCCACTCCACGCACGATGAGGTCATTAAAGAATCCATTGATTGACACAGTCCATCACAGAGTCTCCGTTTGCCCGGTATTTCGCTGCCAACATACAGCTGAGGTGGTTGGTTGACCTGTTCTGTCCTCGGTCTTTTCTTGGTTAGGGTTCTGAGTCCAGCATTTTGAGTGGAGAGAACTCCAAAGAAACTTTGTCTGAGGTGTTCCCAGACCAGATTCTTGTATGTACTGGCAAGTACAGGGCCCGGCTCAGTCCATCACCCCATCAGCTGATGGTTGTAATTGCTGGGTTGGTTCTGTTTTCACTCCCGACTTCCTCTGGAACCAATGGGTGTTTGTTGGGTTTTATATATAGATAAACTTATCTATATATAAAATTAAAAAAAAAATACATGATCCCCAAGCAATCAGTTCAGTGAATTTTCAACTATTAAGCGTAGCCATACAGCTAGCATATTTGAGAATTTTAAAAAAAGATTTATTTTTGCTTGAACTGCTGGTTCGTTCCCCAAATGGCCACAGTGGCTGGAGTTGGGCCGTGTCTTGCTGCTTTGCCAGGGAACTGGCTCAGACGTGGGGTAGCTGGGACTTGCTCCGGTGTCCACGTGGGCTACGGATGCCAGAGTGGAGGCTCAACACGCACCAGTCCCCGAGGAATATGTTTAATTAAAATATTTTAAGTGGAAATTTCTGGTGAAAGTGAGACCTTAAGAGAAGTAATGTAAATGTCAAATTGCTGAAGACATAGAACATGATCCTATATTCAAAAAAGAAGCTGGCCAGGAACTTAGTATTTCATAAGCAAAGAACTGTTCTTTATAGCTAGGCCTTAAGGAGTTGGAAAAATAAGAAGCTTTTCGTTCTCAACATGTTTTGGGGCATTAGATGCTTACTGACATAGTAACCATTTAAAATTAGCTTTTATAAAAAGTTTAGCTCCATATTTACTTTAGTCTTTTGGTTGCAGACTAGAATTTGCCTTGGGGCTGCTATGTGGGATCCCCTTGTTGAGATGTGGTGGGCTGGCAGGTGGAGCACCGCCGTGCAGACCTAGGGCTGCTGGGGAGAGCGGAGCGCTGAGTCCTACTGTGTGCGTCCTCGGGTGAGGGGCTTCTGGCAGGTGTGATCCGAGCTCTGCATCCAGGCCGTGCGTGGATGCTGGCACCACAAGAGGAAGGTCGCGGAGGAGTGGCTTCCTGCTGGATGCACCGTGACGGCAGGGCACAGCACAGGAGCTGCCCTCTGTCCGGGTTAGGAGCGCCCTGTTCTATCCTCTGGAGGCATAAGGAGTGGCACCTGGGGTGGGGTTGATTAGGAAACTCATCGCGAACGCAGCTTAGGTCAGGACCTGAGCCCACTCATTTCCTTGTCCTTTATTGGAAATGTCAGAAGTGTCATGGTGTTTTAATAATGATAGTGTAATTAGCTAAAGGACGTCCTAGGGACACAGTGGACAGCTTTGTTGGTTATTCTTGGTCCAGTGTGCTATTTTTTTCTTTAAAGATGTATTTTTTATCTTTTATTTGAAAGTCAGATATACAGAGAGGGGAGAGACAGAGGAAGATCTTCTGTTGATTCACTCTCCAAGTGACCGCAACGGCTGGAGCTGAGCCAATCCGAAGCCAGGAGCCTGGAGCCCCTTCTGGGTCTCCCAAGCAGGTGCAAGGTCCCGAGGCTTTGGGCTGTCCTCGACTGCTTTGCCAGGCCACAAGCAGGGAGCTGGAAGGGAAGCGGGGCTGCCAGGATTAGAACTGGTGCCCATCTGGGATCCTGGCGTGTGTAAGGCGAGGACTTTAACAGCTAGGCTGCTGTGCCGGGCCCAATCCAGTGTGACTTTGCAGACGGTGTACTTTTCCGCGGCTTGGGGAGTGTTTGGTGCAGACAGGGAGACCCCAGTTCCTCCTGGCTGGCCTAACCACTGGCAGGCATTGCCACTGCTCTGAGCAACTGGCGAATGCTTGTCCTCTCCGCGGGCAGCCTGTGTCCTGACCTTGATTGGGGTTGCCCTCTGATCTGCTGGGGGCCCAGCGACATTTCCCTCCCCTGACCTCCAGTTCCTGTGTCAGCTATAGTTTTCCTAATGCAGCCCTTCCTACTTTCTTGCATTGCATGGGAGTTAAACCTTTAATGGAACCGGAGAAGGAAAACATGCAAACAGATTCATCTTGTTTGATCAAATTCAGCACGAGAACGGTCCAGAGTCGGGCTGTCACTCAGGCTTCCTGAGAACACGTGGTCACAGCAGCAGATCAGTCCAGGGAGTCCTGGCTGAAGAGAGGGAGTGTATTCTTCGCTTGCTCAAGCCTCAGCAAGTACTAGTTTGTCCACCCATCAAACCTGTGGCTTGTGTAGGACTGCTAAGGAGGCGTGCTTGGGTCTGCCCTGGGAGTGCGGGCCAGTGTTGACAACATCTGGGCCTGTGGCGCATTCAGTCTTCTCAAAACCATCCCGAAGGATTCCAGCAACCACCGCACTGTTTCAGAGGAGATGGCAGCCTGGGGGAGGGAGGGTCCAGCAAGCCACCCCGCCTGCACCTGCCTGAGGGGCTGACAGGGTGTTTGAGTAGCAGGGCTGGGAAAGGGTTCTGGGGTGCCCTGACAGGGGTCCCCAGGAGTCCCGGCTTGGCTCCTCTCAGTGCAGGACTGCCTGCCTGCGTCTTTCAGATTCTGCTCCCGTCCTTGCCAGTTCCTTGGTGATTTCCTGCAGTTGCCGTTGTGCGCATCTGGACACGGGTT